ATTTTCAAACAAGGCATTGACTCCTGATGGATTGACAACGATGCAATCAACAACAACAACAACAACAACAAAGCCTTTTCCCACTAAGTGGGGTCGGCTATATGAATCCTAGAACACCATTGCGCTCGGTTTTGTGTCATGTCCTCCGTTAGATCCAAGTACTCTAAGTCTTTTCTTAGGGTCTCTTCCAAAGTTTTCCTAGGTCTTCATCTACCCCTTCGGCCCCGAACCTCTGTTCCGTAGTCACATATTCGAACCGGAGCGTCAGTAGGCCTTCTTTGCACATGTCCAAACCACCGTAACCGATTTTCTCTCATCTTTCCTTCAACTTCGGCTACTCCTACTTTACCTCGGATATCCTCATTCACAATCTTATCATTTCTCGTGTGCCCACACATCCCACGAAGCATCCTTATCTCCGCTACACCCATTTTGTGTACGTGTTGATGCTTCACCGCCCAACATTCTGTGCCATACAACATCGTTGGCCTTATTGCCGTCCTATAAAATTTTCCCTTAAGCTTCAGTGACCTACGACGGTCACACAACACGCCGGATGCACTCTTACACTTCATCCATCCAGCTTGTATTCTATGGTTGAGATCTCCATCTAATTCTCCGTTCTCTTGCAAGATAGATCCTAGGTAGCGAAAACGGTCGCTTTTTGTGATCGTCGCTAGATTGCTCCGGTCATTAGTGTGGATAAGTATATAAATGGATATAGAGATAGGAAAGCAAACACCAGATGTACGTGGTTCACCCATATTGGCTACGTCCACGAAATAGAGGAGTTCTCATTAATTGTGAAGGGTTTACACAAGTACATAGGTTCAAGCTCTGTTTTAGTGAGTACTAGTGAATGATTTAGTACAAATGACATTAGGAAATATTGTGGGAGAATGATCTCGTAATCACGAAACTTCTAAGTTCCGGAGTGTGGTATCGTCTTGACTTGCCTTATCTGTCTCGTAGGTAGGTGTGGCATCTTCTCTGGAAGTACTCTTCCTCCATCCAGGGGTGGTATCTTTAACTGGTGAAGATGCACAAGGTAATGTATCAATTTCACTTAAAGCTTACTTGTAGTTTCAGGCTTGGTCAAGCGCGATACAAACCATGTAGTAGGAGTCCTCCAAGTCGCCGAGCTAGGGGATCTGCTGAAAGAGGTGACAGACAAGGTAAGCAATCAGAGCTCCAAGCAATCAGTCCCAGATCAGAACTTTGATTTCGAGTTCCTGCTGATTGTTCACATTCTCCCTATCTTGCAGGCAGCATGAAGGATAAAGAGAAGAAAAAAGAGAAGATATGATATGGGATACTTTTGCTTTTGAAGAAGTAACTTTCCACATGCTTATTCTTGAACTGGGCTGGAGGGTTTTCTGGTTTCCTCCAGAGTATAAGGCCGACTGAAGAATTTGAGGGTCAAAACAAGTCCATCAAATCTATAGTACGTTCGACCCTGCTGATATGGGATACTTTTGCTTTTGACAGAGTAGTGGATGTATCGGCACGTGTGCTGTTACGCTTGTCTCCACATGCTTCCTTGTATCCTTCTCACTTGCCCTAGATGTTCCTCAGGCAGATGCGGTATCTTCCCTGGAAGCATAAGATGTTGAAGATGAGTACTCGAGAGCAATGCCAGGTAAGTAATCAAGTAAGGGGTTCCAGGCAGTCAGTTCCTGACTGGAAGCTTGATTCCAAGTGCTGACTGATTGCTCTCTTTCTCCTTGTCTTGCAGGTAAGAACAAGGTCAAAGGAAAAGACAGGGAAAAAACATGATATGGGATACTCTTGCTTTTAACCCTGATGATATGAGATATTCTTGCTCTAGTATAGCTTGTTTGCAGAGGTATTATCGAGGGGAAAGAAAGCTGAATATTTCGAAAGGTTTCTTTGGGAGTGCCCTCTCAGATATGAGGAAGGGTTGAGCATTTTTGCAGGTCTGCCTGTCTGTTGGGGATGGAGGTCAACATATATAGGAGTCTCCCTAACAACAAGTAGTAATGCTATTCCTTTACCCTGCTTGGTCATAACACGGTAGTGGGAGCTGCCAGCTTCACATGTTTTAACTCTGTCAGAGCACTTTGAAAAGGTGGTCTGTGGTATCTGGAAAGCTGATGTTGCGTGTAAAGATTACAGACAAGCTTTATCCAAGGAGATCCGGCTCTTGAAGTTGGGAAAGTGGTGCCTCTTCGGTTTTCGAACAAGCAATCCTGTCGGAGATCTGGCTCTCGAGATTCGGAGAACGATGCCTTTTCGATTTTTGAGAAAGCAATCCTGCTAGGGGTCTGGCTCTCGAGATTTGGAGCGGTGTCTCTTCGATTTTTGAGAAAGTAATCATGTTGGGAGTCTGGCTCTCGAGATTCGGAGGGCGGTGCCTCTTCGATTTTGGAGCAAGCAATCTTGTTGGGAGTGTTTTCTCGAATGTGAGAAAAGGTTTGGCATGTTTGCTAGTCTATCTTGCCACGAAGCACAGAGGTTGACACACAGGGACTTTCCAATTATCCAGCAGTGGTACTGTTCCTTTACCCTTATGGGTAATAATATGGTAGCTAGACCTTCAAAATTTATGTGTCTAAACTTTGTTAGTGCTGTTTCTTTGCTATTCTTTTACCCTTCTTGGTCAGAGCGGTGTAGTGGGAGCTGCAAGCTTCACGTGTCTCAACTTTGTCAGAGAACTTTGGCAAAGTTATCTGTGGTACCCATGAGCTAATGTTGCGTGTGGGAAGTGGGTGATTGAACAGTAAGATTCATGTGCTTTCTACTTCACCAGAAATCTTCGACATAATGCCCATAATTTCCGCAAAGCTGACAGGTGCTGACAAGGCTGGAAAAGTAGGTGCCTCTTCGATTTCTGAGATCGGCCCTCGTGGTATCTGAGCAGCCCAGCTTTTGAGAAAGCAAGCGCCTCTTCGATTTCTGAGATCGGCCTTCGTGGTCTTTGAGCAGCCCAACTTTTGAGAAAGCAAACGTCTCGTGGTCTCTGAGCAGCCCAGCTTTTGAGAAAGCAAACGCCTCTTCGATTTCTGAAGCTCCGTCGAGTGCAGATTTTTATAGAGGCTGGCATTAAGTTCCAAAGCACACTTGAATCTCCACCAGTAGAAGCTCCATTCTTGCACTTCTAAGATCTTGATTTGTTCGACCTCTTCTCTCTTCAACACCTTTGAAAATGTCTGGCCCCTCCGACCGTCGTTTTGACTTGAACCTTGTTGAAGAGGCAGCCACGCCTTCTCCAGACAACATATGGCGTCCATCCTTCGTCTCCCCTACTGGTCCTCTTACCGTTGGGGATTCCGTGATGAAGAATGATATGACTGCTGCGGTAGTGGCCAGGAACCTTCTCACTCCCAAAGATAACAGACTATTTTCCAAACGGTCTGATGAGTTGGCTGTTAAGGATTCTCTGGCTCTCAATGTTCAGTGTGCAGGTTCTGTGTCTAACACATGGCCCAACGCCTATTTGCTCGAACCCGCTAAGTTGAATCATTGGCGGCTGAAGTGATGAGTCTCAAACAGGAGATTAGAGGGCTCAAGCATGAGAATAAACAGTTGCACCGGCTCGCACATGACTATGCTACAAACATGAAGAGGAAGCTTGACCAGATGAAGGAATCTGATGGTCAGGTTTTACTTGATCATCAGAGATTTGTGGGTTTGTTCCAAAGACATTTATTGCCTTCGTCTTTTGGGGCTGTACCGCGTAATGAAGCTCCAAATGATCAACCTCTGCTGCCTCTTCCTTCTAGGGTTCTGTCCAGTACTGAGGCTCCAAATGATCCCCCTCCAGTGCCTGCTCTTTCTGGGGCTCTACCGACTGCTGAGACTTCTCCTAAGCAACCTTTGTGAAGGCTCCCTCTTGTTTGTTTATTTTGACTCATATATGTACATATTTTTGACTTATCGGGGATATCAATAAATAGCTTTCCTTCATTTCAACGTATTGTGTTAAATACAACAATGCAATCAACAATATAAATTAATTCAAAACAACCAAAAAGCAAGAAGCAACAAGTAACGAACAACAAGAATAGGAAGTAATAAACCATGAAGGAAATAACACCTCTACTTTGTCACACACTTACTTTTTATCTTTGTCCATCAAATTCAATAAATCGATTAAAAACGAGGAATTGTGAGTGATCATAAAGAGTGGGTGTTTACATTTTTATTTAGTTATGTTTTTGGTTGTTTGTCTTGTAAGGTTTTTGGAATTTTGCCCCCCCCCAATAAGTTACATTTTAATGCCCCTCACATGGTGGGGTAGGGGGTTGGTTTTGCTTCTGGTCAGCAACTTCAACAGTAGCCTGTAGGGCAGGGCGTTTATATCTGCCCTCTCGCATCATGCAATTCTGTATGAAGGCTTGTTTGTAGCTCATGCTTTCTATCAAGGAACATAATTTTAACTTCAATAATGTAATGTGGTGGTTGTTGTTTCATACAAGTTTTCAGTAGAGCCGGTTTGATTTCAATTAGTTTGTAACTCAATTGGTTAATAGCGTTTGCACGTGCATTCGAGGTCTCATGTTCAATTCCTTTTGCCCTGTAATTTCAAAGAATTGTAGTGCAAATTATGATATGGTTTGTCATTAAGAAAAATAAGGATATTTAATATAATCTAAACTACAAAAAGAAGATTCAAACTCTTTTATTAAACGATATTTTCCAAATTATAGAGATAAAAATTCAAAGCTGGGTTTATAGGGAAATCATACTCACTCTAACCCATGTGATTGTGTTTATGTGTGCTATTTGACATTACTTTTAAACTAACTAAAATCTTTTGCATATAACCAAATCGCTCACTGAATTATATAAGTCTTTTTGGAATCCCTTTCGAAATGGCTAAAAGTGTTTTCTGACCACTAAAAAAGCTTTTGACCGCATTGAACAAAAAAGTAAAAGTACTTGTTGGTCGTAGAAGCACATTTTGGAAAAGCACGTGCAGGATTATTTCTCAAGAAGCCACTGCCAAGTATTTTATTAAGAAGCACTTAGATTTTCAGTGGAAATTTCAAACATGTTTCTAGTAAAATAAAATTAGCTTTTGGAATAAGCATGAATTGTTAGAAAATATTATTCAATGTCTGTTTTGAGAAGGCAATGGCCTCTCTCTCCAACAAAATGACGAAGAATACATCTCTGTGGTCAATGAGAACGATGCATCTTCTCTAACTCTAAAAGAATGGCCAAAGAAAGAATCGTAAATCTAAAGATTCAAATTAATCTTCGGGTTAAGCAAGCTTCTTTGCACGACCACTTGAAGGAGCACCGTCGTCCTTTTTTGACCCGGATGCCTCGGGCTTCCGGGCCCAAGCGGGAGCTCTGTCCGGCTCATAGCGATAATCATAGAAAAGTTCCTCTCCTGCAGCAATTCGTTCCTTGGCAAATATGCCCACCCTGTGATCTCCGGCGACCATAATGACCTGCCACGGAAGGGTTTATTGTCGAATCCAAAATGTTTTCAAACGGTAAAAAATAACGAAAAAAGGATGTCAAAAGGGTATACCTTCGCATAGCAATTTGGATCTGGAGAGTGGTTGGCAAACTTCAGTTTGTCACCCTTCCGATAAGCATCAAGGACAAACTGTACAAAACAAATGCTTATTCACGGCAGTATAAGATAAGAGGTTAGATATGACATGGAATTCAAAGGTGTCGATATACATGCCTGATCGTTCAGATTGAAGAGAAATGATGAATTTTCACGGTCATATATTTTTCCACGCTTATCTGCTTCGCGGTGTGAGATCAACTCCCCAGTATACTCACCAAGGTATTCATGTTTGGCGACACTATTCTGGAGGGTGGCAAGGAAAATTAGCTAGAAGCATAAGGAGAAACGATCACCAGACATCATAAAAAATTTGGACATACCTTTAAGAAAGCACCCCAGCCAGATACGTCAGACCTTCCAAGTAAGACCTGAACATAAATGAGGATACAAGCAGTCATTACTAGAAGACTTCATATTAGGACACTAGCTTCCGACAACTTACCAACTCGTCAAGTAAATTTTTGGCATAAATGCTACCTTTTGACCATGCATCTACAGAAGGAAGGAATAAGAAGAAATGAAACGGTAAAGTGAAGTGTTAGTTACCCTTTGTTGTTGTTTCAGAAGAAGCTTCATATTTCTACACTCATAATTGTCACCTCTTTGGCTTGGAACCCCAAGGGTACCATCTCCACAACTGCAAAATGAAATTTGACAGCCCCTTACTGTTGAAGGTTGACCAGAGCAAAAAAGCAGCAAACATTTATATTTATACAAGTAAAACACAAACTTCAAACTTATTTTCCTGAAAAACAAAAGGTATGAATACCCTTATTTCTATGTCAGATAGCACCTACTGCTCCCACCTTCATGTATTCCATATACATCAGCCTACAACAAACTATATTTTCCACACCCTGCGTACACTTGTAACATAACATGCAAACGGCTTATTTTGCCAAGCCATTCTGACTTAATAAAATTTCAACCCATTTCATCATACTACAAATGTCAAAAACTAATTCATACAGTAGATAATGAGCATTCATCAGGCAATCACCAGATTGTGGAATATACAATCTTTATGTGATTAATTAAATTTGCAATCACTTAATTGTGACTGCCCGATTGAAAATGTGAAAATGGTGTAGATATACAAACCCATAGCTTAGGCACAGAAAATTAAAATGTGTTACTAATTTAGACAGAAATGAAAAACGGCTAAGTTGAGTGTGCTCAACTCTAAAAGTTAATATAGGATAAATCCAATCACAAAGAAGCAACTGTCTGAAGCACATTGAGAATACCATACAACGTAGTCCAAACCTGTTACAAAGTGATACGAAAAGATTTTCCACCAAAGAAAAAGAAAACATAGTAACAGTTATGAGCTCACCTAACCCAGCAATTCCGACAAACATCCGGATCACATTCCCTGTCTGCAGCAAAACAAGGACACTGACGGCTTCGGCATTGACTTTTAGCACAATGACAACCTCTAAATCTATTCTTGCAAGTCTTTGGACACCTAGACAATTAAGTTGTGTTTTTAATTATCATTGGAAAAGCCAAAAAACTCGATGGACATTAACTAAAGAAACAATTAAATCTATGAACTAATTGGCCAAATCGATGAGGTCAGCTGCAGATCAAGAGAAAATTAAACAAAAGACGTTGAGGTATCTATCCTTTTTTCAGAAATACAATTATCAGAAAATAGAAGCTCACCCACAGTACTTCTCGCAACAAGTCCCGTTTTGTAGACAAGAACACTGCTTTCCACAAGCTGTTTGGCAAGTACATGGATTATACTGCCTGCAAGGCTGATCTTTTCTCTCAGTAATTCGTTTCCTGATTGAGTGGTAAGCCGCAGATTTCCAAGTATACTTCAAACGACGAACTCTACCCCTTCTACGTAAAAATTTTGATCTCCTTCTTGCTTCATTATTGCCCTAAAGTTTGTTTCAATTTAGACAAAATAGAATCACCTGTTAGGGCAGGGAGGGTCCTGTCATAACCATATAAGCCTATATAAAATATAGACTATAAATCCATTAAAGTCAACCTTGGAATACCCTTCAACAAGGGAGTTTGCAGCATCACCTGCTTGGCAGGATATCTTACTCTCTGAGTAATTCATATACTGAAAAACCTCCCAACACGTTTTCATTCCATTTAAAAGGTTCCTTGCTATTAAGCAGCTGTGATAAGAAACCCATTATAAGATGGAAACAGAAGGAAGTACCTTAAGTAGTTAATAAATCCAAAGGGATATCCAGACATAAAGATGCAGTGCAAATCAAGTATTTAAAAGGAAACTCTCTACCACTGGCACAGTTGCACCTTATATTTCAAGAATGGATATTCTTAACCAAATTATAGAAGTACAGAAAAACTTACAAAATACTGTATCCACCTTAGGAACTTCCCAAGACGGTACAATAGATTGATTACAAAACTATAGGATGCTATACATTACAAAGTTGAGACATACCCACGTCAAAATAAAAAAATTATGACATGTACACGTGAACTCTTTTCTTTACTTTTTATTTTGGGGAGGGTGGTGGTATTGTGTGTGTGCAGCTGCTCTTTGTGCAGATAATTTTACACGTATCTAAATAATAGCCAACATCACTACCAATAACTAATTACATACAGAACAGAAATGAAAATCTAGAGAAAACACATTACATCCACTGACCTGTTGCTGCCAAATATCTCTATGCCTTTCTCAAAAAGGCCCTTCTCAATAGTTTTCCATGTTTTATCATCACTTAATTCTTGTTTATATATGTTTTCATCAACACATTCTTCTCTCCTCAAATTGTCATCACTACTTGTAGCAGGTGGATCAGCGATCATCTCATCCAGTGCACCATCAGGAGATTCACCCTGAACAACTTTGTTGCTGCCCTTAGCAGGTGATTCCCTCCTCCTAAACCCTCCACTGGTAGAAGATTTCAGATTCTTTTGTGAAGAAGAACTAGTGTCTTCATTATCTTTGCATGAATTAGATCTAAGCTTCATATCACTTGAACAGAGACCAGCATTAACAATGGAATCGGAATCAGAAACCACCATTTTCTTCTGCCTCTTCTGCATGCAAATTAGAACACGCTCTGCAACTCTCTTGCTATTCCTCTTACGAATTCCACTTTTTCCTGCTAGCTTAGTCTTTGTGGGTGATTGATGATGGTTATCAGTATCCTGCCTGGATCCATTCTCTGAAGCACTGCTTTCTGAGATGTTTTTAGCATTAGATGAAGCACTTTCACTTTGCCCGGACTTTGCCTTCTTTCTAGAAGATTTCTTTCTGGTTGATATTTGAGCACTAGCACCATCGAATGATGTGACCTTTTTTTCTTCAAGATCACCAGAGCTCACTCTAGCAATTCTTTCAGACTTCAGTACCTAAAATGAGACAATTTGAAACCACAAAATCACTTTTTGCCAATTCTTTACAAAATTCCCAGCTACACAGCACAGATCACGTTCACGACACATACTGATCTATAGCAATTCGGACCGCATGATACTTTTTCGTCATCCGGGGGACTCCATGGAGGTTGTTTCTCAACCTGACAATTTTTTTTTTATCAGCGTAGGATATAAAAGTCTGGTGTCACAGTCATACAGCTATTAAAAAATTACTTACAGGAAAGACAAGATCCTGTGAACATCCATGTAATCTGCAATCAAATACCTGCCAAAACAAACAACCACGGAACAGAGTTAGAAAAGATAACCCAACAAACCCAACAAACATACAAGTAAAATTAGAAAAAGAATACTTACTAGGCAGCGACGACAAAATAGGTTGTCAAATGAATCCAGAGCTGCATCCAGATCTTTATCAATAAAAGAATTCCCAATTTGTGAAATGTCTTCAGTATCCCTGCTCTTACAACCCCCCGAAGCCTCCTCTTCCTTTACGAGAGTATCATATCTTGCCTGTATAAGACGTTTGATGGAGTTTCATATCTCTGTAAAGCCAGCACAAAGCAAATGGGAAACGGCTGGACCAAAGCTTACACTGACTGGTTTTTATCGTGTTATACATTGGACAGAAGCATGGCAGAATGGCAAGTATTCCTGCAAAATAGAAAAAAGAAACTACCATACCTTGACTTCAGATGGACTTCTAGAGAAACACTGTGCTAATGACTCCAGCACTGGATCAGGGAAGCCAACTTCTTTTATAGCCGAGCTGGAAAATTCAATGAAATGACCAGGGAACAATTACTTCACTTTTCTTATGGTATATAAGCACATACAATTTCAAAATTGAGATTCTCCATATGTTTAAGGAAAAAAAATATCAAACTGAAATTATTATGTCAAGATGAGAACCTAGGTCTTGAACAAATATTACGGCAATAGAGGACTGAATATAAAGGTCAGTTCAGTTCACATTAATATATTTTCTGCATAATGTAAACAAAAATAAAATAATAATTTGATTAACTCAACTGTACCCAGTACAAAACTGGACTTTTGTTTCTCCCTTCCCTGTTGTATGTTCAAAATTGACCAAGCTATTATAAAACCGTGTCCATCCCAGAAATGAGAGAGAGTAGCAGATACTACACAAATTTAACTCTTCCACTATAGCTAAGGACTATAACCATAAACTAGGTCAGGGAAAGCCACTTGAGCTGGTATTATTGGCTAAGACAAAATATCTAAGATTAGATGTTGATGAGAACTTATAATGTACCTATACTTTATTAGGCCTGCAACAAAAGGAAATAAATCATAGTTTATAACATTAGTTTTTTTTTTTTTTTTTTTTTTTGTCATTAGTTAAATTTGGGGGTGGGGAGAATCAAACTTGAGTGAGGTGGGAGTTTTCTTGGCTCTAGTGCCACTGCAACTAGGCCCCCATCCTCAGTTTATAACATTAGTTAACATGGTTATACCAACCGAAGTATAAAGTCTTCAGATTCAACAAAATCCCTTTTTTCCTCTTCTTCATCAACTGCTTCCTCCTCACTATCACTACATATAAGAGCTTCACCTCCATTTTGATCATAATAAATTCTTCTTCGACCTACCACTGACTGATCTTCTGTCATTCTTTGGTTTCTGCAACACATGCCAAACAAAACAAAACAATGATATCACTAACAGGCACAAATGAAATGAAACGGAAAAATAGGCAGCTGGATTATATGGCATGAGTTTCATAGTACCGAACAAAAATATAAACCATCAACTCAATGAGGCCACATCCAACAACAGTAGAAATCAGTAACTGCATGTTACCAAATTCAATTAATAGCGCAAGAAAAGATGACACAAAAGTCAAACATGCAAACGATATATATTTGAAGCAGTAATTGATTGATGTTAATGATACAATGATCTGTAAAAATTGCATGATCTAATTGGAAACAAGGGAGAACAAGAAGGAAAGGAGACCAATAAATACAATGAATCTTATCTTGTAGCACTCATACCAAAAGGTTCAAGACATAGCAGTAAATTTTTTCTCGCAGTTGCAACAACTAACCATTGCAAGGAATTCAGTTCTTAGATAAATGCTCAATACCCAAGTAGGCTTACAAAATTGATCATGACCAAATGCTTTATGGGTCGTCTCAGATCTTGCAATTGGCCTTTAAATGTACATACAATATTAGTTTGGAGCTGCAAAAAGAGAATGACGAATGAAACTGATTCCCTTTGTACCGATTCCATTATGTTTTCTATCTCTTTCCGTGAACATAGATTAAACTACACAAGATACTTGCAACTAGCTGACGCTTTGTAGAAGGACCTCAAATTTCATTAAATAACTTATAAATTGAATCTTTTTTGTGTACCAGAATGTAAAAAATATTCCACTTCCACAAGCGAACAAGGACATGGAGTGATATGCAACACAAGAATATAATTCAAGTTGAAGTATATGGGTCATCAAAAGTAGACCATGTGCAGGCTGAACCTGTCCAAAAATATCCATGTAGTATAAGGAGGTAGTCTTTTAACTTCCAGAAGCTTGATAGGACGAACAGAACTCTTGACTGCTACATTAGATTCAAGTAGAACTGCTGTGGACCCATGACCATCTTCTTGAGAGCTATCGTTGCTCCCATTGCTCAATTCAATTCCATTTTGCAAGGCAAATGCATCTTTTTGCCTCTTTGTCAATAGATCTAAACTTCTACCAGCATCAGTTAACCTACTACTTGCTCTTTCCGTTGACAGTTTATACATGTTGTTGGTGACACCAGCCAACTTCTGCCTGTTTTCCTCCATTCTTTTCTGCAATGAAAAAATACTTAGTATTATGAGAACAAAAACGTGATATAGTCCTCCAGTTTTCTGTATCAATACAATGATCGCCATAAGATCCGTGAGGATGCACCTTTATAGAAGTAGCCCGGTTAAAAACAACTTGCGTCTTTAGATTTTCTATGAGCAATGAAATCTCCTTCCGGGTTACATCCATGTTTTCTTGTGATCTCGTCATCTGTAAAAGTAGAAGATAAGTTTAATCCAACATAAAAACACAAAATTATAAAATACCCAGACAAAAAAGTAGAAAATAATTAAGCAAGTAAAAGTCAGAGTGGAGTTGAATGAACACAAAACGAAGTGGTTCAAAGAGCGGGTAGCACTCTCTATCAACAATTTGAGCACAAAAAGCTATAACCAACCTTTCTATTGTAATAGGTTTTTAAAATGCAAGCTAAGCAGGAAAAATAAAACGTAAGTCCAGAACCCTCGATCAGCGAAACAATTTTCACAAGTTTATCTTTCTAAGTTGAAAGACATTCGTCAAAATTACATGGTAAATTATCCAAAACATAGATAGCATCATCAAAATTGGCACTTAAAAATCTAAGCACGCAGAAGTCAAACGAGCAATGCTGCTATATCTCTCTCCATATCAACCCACATTGGTAAAATTCATACATAAATGCGCTTATATTACATGCATACTGAATGTTATATATATAAAAGAACAAATATGTATATGTCCAGGCACACACATTGACCAAATTAAACCCAACATAAGACCTTCCATTAATGACAAGAATTTAAGATGAGTTTTCATTGATTTACATAGAGAAAGAGATCGAGAGAAGAGCCGAAGGATTATACCGGCGGGTCGTCGTGAAGCTCCGATCTATTGGCAGAAGCGGAAGGCGAAGCCTTCGACGCCATTGTCGGCGGCGAAGCTGGGGGAGGTTAATCCGGCCGGAAACTCAATTTTGGTTCGGATCGGATCCGATTCATACGGAGGCAGTCCTGTGAGGAACTGTAAGGTAGGGGGTTTGGTAGAGAGGATTTTGGCGGGTCGGGCTTGAAACCCTAATCAGGTCTGGGAGGGCCTACGGAGGATTTTTGGCCGTTTTAACGGAGACGTATTTCTTTTTCTTTTCTTTATAAAAACAAAACCATGAATGAGTGTATTCTTTTTTGTGGTGCTTTTTTTATAGGTAGGAAATTGTTAGTAGTGTTTTTGGTAGTGTTTGTTTAAATAGTCGGTGTGAAATCGGAAAAAAAAAGTCGGATTAATGGGAGGAAAATGTATAATCATCGTTTATTTTGAATTGTCTGATGAGACACTAACCTTTTGGCATGGAGAAAATTTTCAATAAGTTAAAAACACGGTCCGGTACAATAACTATTATAATATAATTGATTGAATTTAATTTTTTTTTCTTCAAATGTCAACCAATTGTAATATTACATTTGGTGTACCGAACTGTATTGCCTGCACATTGAAAAATCTCACCTTCACATGCACTCACATATGCATCCACGATAATATGTTTGGATGATGAATATGCAAGAAAAAAATTTAGCTTAAATGAACTAGAAATACACTTCAAAATATGAAATTGTGTCTTTTATCTTTCGCTAAATTTATAGTTGATAATAATGTTGTTATTTATTTCTTTTCGAAGTTTTATCTTGCACAAATGGTTTTTTTTTCTTTCTTCAAAGTACCATATAGCTTGGTTATATAGAGCAATGAAGCCGAAAAGAGATGATAAAATTTGAATAAAACAATAACAAACTAATCTTTTACTTTTTTTTTTAACAAATGATATTATGTGTAAGGCCGGAGAGTGAGCTAAGTCTCACAATGAGTTATCAATAATATGGTTCAAATTCGTTTATGACGAGAATCGAATCACTTACAAATGATGAATAATATTACAAGACCACGTGACTTTCACTTAAGCATTGACTCTTGTTTAAGAACCACCTTACCGCCTCAGTCAGCGGGAAAAATGAGGCCTGAACCCTTGTAAAAAATACCCTAAAAAGAAAAGCATGCAAAATGATGGTCGTTAATGAAAAACAAAGTATAAAATTCATCATCCTAAAACCGTTGTATAACATGTGCCAGTGGGTAGTATTAATAACTGATATAACAGAAATATAGTTAGAGGGGTATTATTGTAATTGGGTTATATGGTTATATAATGGATTGTATAGCTATTATTTTCTTTAGTTCTATTGTATACATTTTCTCTATTCAATTAATACAATATTTCTTGTTTCTCTCTACCAATTCTTTCCCTTCCTCTATACCAATACTCCATCTTTTACAATGTAGTTAATATGGTATCATAGCCACCAGGCTAACGCCATTATTCTGGTGGTTCCGTATTTTTTTTCATTAGTTTCATTTTTTTTCTTCTGTTAATTTCCTTAATGTTTCCGCAATTGTTCCGTAACTTCTGGGTTGTGAACAATATATTCCGATAAGGTTTTTCTGGGTTGTGAATTGAGATGTCGGATCACAGATCGTAGTCAGGGAATTCTTTGGAGTGTTGTTTGGAGTGACGGATCGTGGTGTACACAAGAAGCCTCCGGACAGACGTAGACTCACTTCTTCACCTCTTTGTTCGGCCTCTGTCGCAGCTTCCATGGCAGATTATGGCCGCGCCGATGAAGATGAAAATTCTGATCCCTCTGAAACCCTTTGCTGGAAATTTTGCAGACGAATTGGTTCGTCGCTAGACGGGTCTTCGACGACAGAGCAATCACCTCCGCATCTGGATCTGGCATTCCTGATTTGGGATGTTGTCAGTTTCAAGATTATGCCGAGGAAGATGAAGGACTAGAACATGAGCTTGGCGAGCGAGCCGTGCCAGCGGAGGTGGTGAATGTACGGTGACTTGTCCATCTTGAATATGGTGGAGCTTGGGATTCCTTTTCATGTTATGATTTGGTAACGGGGGAATCCTCTGGTTTCTTGGAGAGATGGGTTGTTTGGATTTCTGGGAAATAGGTGGATGCAGGACTAATTCTTTGCACTGTTGATTGAGATCTTGGATTTCTGAATGCTATTTTTTGCGATTTTGATCCCTACTCTATTTCCTGGTATGGAAGAACGTTTAGACCTATGTGCAGCCCAAGTGCTTGACGAATTGCCCAGCTCAGAATTACAAATCTGGGTTGCTCAAAGATTGGGTATCTGGGTTGCTTGTCGATTGGATGTCTGGAGTTCAGTGCTATTTGACGATCTGGTGATGCTTGTGTGGTGATTCAGGTGAATTTGTTTCTATTTCTCGAATCTCGATTCTATATGCTGCTTATTCTCTGAAGTCGTGGTATGTGTTTGTTGTTTTCCTGGTTTGTTTGAAGCAAAGATTTGGGGGTTTTTGATTTCTGGATAGAATTGTGATATGGTGATAACTGAAATGATCATTATTTCTGTATCTTTTCTTGGAGTATAATTCTCTAAAATTTGTGAATATGTTAGGATTTATAGTTTGTGGGTTTGAAGAAGAAAGTAGCAGTCTTTCTATGGATTTTTGGAGTGTCATTCTCCAGAGTCGAAGTGTGTTATGTGAATCTTGGAGTGTCATTCTCCTGAATCGAAGTGTTTTCTGTAGATCTTGGAGTGTCATTCTCCTACGTAGAATATTTTCTATGGATCTTGGAGTGTATTTCTCCTTAGTTGATTTAGTTTCTTGGAGTGTCATTCTCCTTGGTAGATTTAGTTTCTTGGCAGTGTCAACTATGGCTTCTCAGTTCACAGTCGAAAACTTGTTGGGTATGTTCAGATCAAGACCAAATTTAATTGTATTGCTAAGCTCATTCATAATCAGGAAAGCCTTGCAGATTCACATACAATGAGAATTCGATCCTGCTCCAGATGTAATACTATCTGCATAATGTGTGTTTGAAAGGATGATACAGGGTTCTGTTTTGCACCAGTTGGTAATGTGCAATTTTTTTGAGCGGCTGAAACTCTTTGGGAAGATTTGGTGATATGGCATTGCAGTTGAAAAAGGGGTTAAACCAGATGATAGGTTTTGTGGCTACTTACTCTATGTCATATCGTTGTGTGAAGAAATTGGGCAACAAGAATTTTCTTTTAATCAGAAAGCATCACTAAAGCTGCAATTTCTGTGGAGATTGGTTGTAGCATTCAAAATGGCTCCTGAAACATTTTCATCTCACGCATTGCTCTGTTAGTGTTTCGCCTCATCTCACGCATGAGTTCAGGGTTCCTTACGGCTTCCAATGTCTGTCGAAGAATGCCAGGATTGTTCCAGATTAGTCTCAAATACCTGGATAGTTCAAACTTCACTTGGATACTCCAAGTTTAGTTTGAGGAGGGAGTAATAACTGATATAACAGAAATATAGTTAGAGGGGTATTATTGTAATTGGATTATATGGCTATATAAGGGATTGTTAAGTTATTATTTTCTTTAGTTCTATTGTATACATTTTCTCTATTCAATTAATACAATCTTTCTTGTTTCTCTCTACCAATTCTTACCAATTATTTCCCTTCCTCTGTACCAATTCTCCATCTTTTGCAATGTAGTTAATAAGTATTTTCACTCTCATTTTCTCCTTCCACACAACGAAAATCATTTTGCAACATTGAAATCATTCATCATCCTAAAACCGTTGTATAACATGTGCCAGTGGGTAGTATTTCCACTCTCATTTTCTCCTTCCACACAACGAAAATCATTTTGCGACATTGAAATCATTCGATCACTCTACTACTACACTACATAGGGAAAGACAAAAAGTTAGACTCTCAAGTTAAGTAGTTTTAAGCAACAACTCGTTTACTTAGACTCTAGAAATTACCAAGCACAATTGAAGCTTACAATCAAAATTAAAAGCATAGGTTATGTGAGCATAGCTTGCATGAACTCTACATCTTCTGCCATAGCTCGTATAGTCTCTGGCCAAAGGCAACATTCAAAATCGATGCTACCTTCTTCAGGCCCAGGAAACACCGTTAACTTCCCAACCTTTCTTTCTTGAGTTCTGCTTCGCACAGCAACCGGCCTTCCCCACCCAAAATCATTACCATACACATTGAACCGCGGCGAGCTTCCTGTGAGCAAATCAAGAGTTGCTGTATCCCTTTGTGGATTTGAAAGAAACGTAGGAGCTTTTACCCAATCCTCCATGTACTTCCTAGCTTCTTCAGCCTTCAGCGAACCAATTTTTTTGTTTATTAGGAAGGCTGCCCACCCTAGTCCATGTCGTATTAGCTCCCCAGCGGTGCACTTCACAATAAGGCCCAGAGCCCCATTCCCGATGTACTCTTTTGGCAATGGTGGCTCCATTCTCTGCCGCACTCCCACTGCAATTCGGTAGCTAACTTCTTGATCTGGGTTCAGATTTCTGGCACGCGTTACCGCTCGCCAAAGATGAGCCATGAGTGCTTGAAGGGATGAGATCGTGTTATTGTCGGTGGTGCCCATCTCAACATTAGCCTTGGACTTGAGCTCTACCACTTTCTCTTTACGAAAATGAAATACTACCCGCTGTGAAGAATTCGAAGACGATAATCCATGTCCAATTAGAGGCTTCTTGGTCATGATTTCTTGAATGTTGGAGAAGGGTAGCTGAATTGGAAGATCGATCACGCCGTCATAAAATTCACGAGCGAAAACAGGACGAGGTTGAGAAATTTTACCAGAAGGTCCTACACGGGAAATTTCAGACCACGTATTGAAGAAATGCCAGAAAGAGGTACCATCAACGACCACATGGTTTATACTGCAACCAATAAAGATGCCGTCAACAAGTTCAGTGACTTGTACTGCGACCAATGGTTTTGTAATACCCTCGTAGTTCCAAGCATCCATCATACAAAAGAGGTGGTTGACAATGTCATCTGCAAAATAAACGGAATCAAGGATATCCTCCACTTTGACACCATCGGCAGCCGCAAGGACAAACTCAGCTCCGTTGCCATTACAATCGATGAAGAAAGAACAGGTGTTGTCGTTATCATTTTTAGTCAGAGCAAGCCGACCAGCGAGCGGGTAGAAATTATTCAAGGTACGGGAAAGTGTGGATTTTAGGTGGTCTATCAAGCTGCTGCTATCTTCCCCTTTGCTGATTTCTTGAAGAGCAACCCCTTTTGAATGTAATCGATCTGGAT